CATTCTACTTTTAAATACTCTAGGAACAACAAGTAGGCCTGCAGAGCGAGAGCGAAGTGCTCTAATAGGGTGATATGGTACTACAAGGTCATTAAGATAATAAAGTCTTTCTGATTCTGAATCTGAACGCAGGAATGAGGCATGTTGTATAAAGTGCTTTAACTGCTCGGAGCAGAAAATCACTGTATAAGAACCAGTTAGCAGTTTAAAGGTTTGTAAGGAGAGTCAGGCTGCTGCGATGTGTCCAGGCTGAGTAATCGCTCTCTAACAGTCTGTCTGTTGCAGGATCTTGTTGAGCTTTGATGGATTTGATTTTCCAGGTTGTAAATGAAAGTTTGGCTCTCAGATTATGAACAAGTGTAAACCCGACGGCTGCTGGATGCAGTGTGCTCGGCAGGGCTGCCATCCTGCTCAGACCTGTTTCTGAATATCATCGTTTAGAGCAGATTAAACCTGAGCTCCATCTGCTCCTGACACACTCGAGACAGAAAAGACCTGACCGCTTGCCTCAGACACGCAGAACTCCAGAACACGACAGAGTTTGTTAAAGGAAGCTTTGAAGAAGCTGTGATGAAACTAAATTGAGATGATTTCTTGGCTGGTTCTTCGTGGCAGCAGAGCCGGCGGGTCGGTGTGTCCCAGCACGGCAGCTCCGGGCAGCGGCGGGAGCTCCTGTTTATCCAGAGAGAGAGCCGACCTGCAGCAGCTGAACAGGAGGCTGGCTTCATACCTGCAGCAGGTAGGATGGAGGCAGCATGCTTCATTGTTCCAAATGAGACTAATGAGCAACAGTTAAAAGGATCTGAAAGACTTGGAGACAAAAAAACATCCGATTTCTTTATGGACGTTTGCACTGCTTAAAGATTGATCGATAAAGTTCTGTTATTGATTTGAAATTTTAAGACCACAAGAAATCAAAATCAAAAGGAAGAAATCATGAACCAAAGATTGTGTTTCATGATGTCACGTTTAAAACTAAGATCTGAAACATAATGTTTCCCAGAGCTGTTTGAATGTACGCAGAGAACACGGTGATTCACTCATACAACAGCATGACAGAGAATGTTTGTTTGTTTGTTTGTTTGTTTGTTTGTGCAGGTCAAGCATCTCGAGGCAGCCAATCAGAGGCTGGAGCATCAGATCGAGGAGGAGCTGGACAGAAAGTGTCCCCGAGAGTTGAGGTGGCTGGACGGACACCTGAGGACCGCCTCCCTGCTGCAGGGCCAGGTAGACTGTAAATAAAGGATGGCATGGTCTTGTGCTGTCACAGTTCAGCGTCTTTGTTGTCCATTTCTTTCTGTCCGTCACTTTTTCTTTCTTACATGCTCTGTCCTTCCTGTCTTATCAACTCGGATTTCCTGTGATTGAAACCAGACATAAATCTGAAGGACTCTGAGGTGTTCTGCTGTTAACAGATGTGATGTGTCAGAGGAGTCATAAAGTAAAGCAAAGAACATGTGCAGACAGCGAAGCTGGAAACAAATTGATGTCAAATTTATTCTTGTTGCAGCTTGTCGCAGCTTTAGAGTCTCTGCAGTTCTGTGATAATTTAATGATGAAGTCCTCAGTCGAGCCCAGAGATTAAAACATTTACCAGTTCTGTTCCAAGTCAAAGCCAAACAATCTGATCCAGGCATCAACCTGCAGGCTGGAAAATGAAGCCAAACACTGGAACTACCAAAGACTGCAGTTCCTCTAACGCCCACTAGAGGCTCCAGAAGTGAGTCAGTGCCAGAGGGCTCCCAGTTAATCAGTTTTAACCTTACAATCAAAGGTTAAACGAGTTTCTCAGGTGGTGTCAGGATGCTGTACCTGTGTTTAATGGTCAGACGGGTTTGGACGAGTCCAAAATGTGACAGACTGAAAACCTGGCGTGTCCTGTAAAAACCAGAGAAGTCATTAAGGAAATTTATTTATTTGTGATTCTCCGCCCAGACGTTTGCACCTCCTCCCACCACAGAATAAAGCTTCTCTCTCTCTCTCTCTCTCTCACAGATCAGTGAATGTCTCTCGGCCCAGGCTCAAGCGAAGCTGCAGTTACTCGAAGCAGAACTCACCGTCTTCGACCTCAAAGAAAGGTAGAGCCACGCCAGCGATATAATCATACCTGCCTCGTGGGTCTCTAATGCACGTCAGAGTATGAGTGCAGAGGTCTGTACGGGATAAAAAACATCACAGAGTCTGCCGCCGGTTTCAAACAGGAGAACGAGCTCAGTTTAAAATGCAGATTTTCATCCCAACACGTTTATGTAACTGTCACACTTCTGTAATTTAACGTGAAAACTACAAAATCACGCAACTCCTCCATCATTCAAACCAGTCAAAGCGTCGCTTCATCACCGTGCTGTAGCTGCTAGCTGCTAGTTGTCTGCTAGCTTAATCTGTTGTTCTGATAACTTAACACCCTGTCGTCCAAGCATGATCACACCTACACGCAACAACATGGCTGTGGCCAAATATAGCTGAACATCTAGACAGATAAATGAAGACATGTCCCATGATCCTTTGCTGTGTGTGCAGGTGCCAAAAGGTGCGTGAGCAGCGTACTCATCTGGAGGCGGAGCTTAGTGACCTCGGGCTGCTGGGGGAGGTCCTGAAAGTTCACATTCTGCCTGAGCTTCAGAATCTGCTGAATGAGCAAAAGCAAGAGAAAGCGGATCTGCAGACTCAACGCCAGCAGGTAAAACAATCTCACCTGGATGCTTAAAAAAACCTACACCCCTTTTCCTGCCTACCTGTGTAGCAGCTGAGATGCACATCACTGAGTCTTCAGACCTGATCCAACAGGTGGACCACCTGAGACAGACGAGTGTTGGACACCTGGACAAGAGCAAGAGCAAACCCAGGTGCAAGACTCA